CTTTACGATCATAATTGCAATTTCACCGCTTGTCACGTTTCTAATTGTCTCACATCTTGGCAATAAAATGCTCCTCGGAATAAAAATTACGGCATCAAATATTGTCACAATTCCTTTTGATGATGATGGTGAGGAAGTGGGACAAATATGAGGCGCGCTTCTCGTCACCTCGCAAAGGGTCAAAAGGGGGGAAAATCTTGCAGAAAATAGAATGCAATATAGCAAGATTATTCACACTCCAGTGGTGTCTTGCGAGGCGAAGAATTTTATTTCTCATTAATTCCTCCTTGACGGCAAATTTCAATTGATCAAAGAGATGAGAAAATTTCCCTTGACATTCTCAGCAAATTTCGCACAGTGTCGCCTTCCGAGTATTTTCCATTTTCATCGCCTTTTATCTCACTCGAGCAACTGTCTCACACCTAATTAATAACACTTTGTCTTTGTCCTCTCTTTTTTTTCCACACCAACTTGGGTTCGTGTGCTGCCCTAAGAAAAAGGGCGGCCTTTGAGTCGAAATTGCACGAAGAATGCCTCCTGGAGGCGATAATTGCCACTTCCCGGCCACTTTTGCACTCGAAACTGACACTCTGGGGCAATCAATTAGCGATGAAGAATTCCATTTTCGTACTCAATTATGTCAGCAATCATCAGTTCGTCAGGTTAACAGGATAAGCAAATCCGGAGAGACTTACTTGTAAATTCTCAAGTGGATATTTATAGAGTGGCCACTTTAAAGTCTCTTTGATTAATAGCATTTTATGAATCTGTCGCATTTGGCGCCATTCGTTATTGAATATTCCAAGAAATCATCCACATCAGCGAGCAATGCTGCAGAAATGTGCTGAGTAAGGAGTCTCTCTGTTGCTTATTAATGGTATTTTGGGATCAATTTCAATAGGTGCCGGATGTTACTTAACATTTCTACTACACAGCGCACTCCTCGTGGAGTGTCATCATTGGATAAAGGACACAATTGAGAGAAGAGTTTAACGTGTGGATTCTCCGGATTGTGTGAGAATATCAAGTAGAACTGCTCAGTGGGCGGAGCTTACGCGAGGGCGGGGCTTAGTAGTGATTCAGTAGTTTCACTTCCGTGATTACGCATTCGGTGAAATAAGTAGATTGCATTTCAGTCCTTTGAGTATATCCTCAATTCGGGGGTTCACAGAGAAATATCAGCTTTTCCGATGGACAAATTTGATCCGTCAATTAGAGGTGTGTGCGCGTTTTTCCTACCAGTCGTCGTCACAGTGGCTCCATAATGATGACGAGGGGCATGTCGTTTGAATGAGTGACATCACTGTGGCAAAACATCGCCCATGACCGAGTGAGATGAAGGATAAAACTCATGTCCCGGCCATCATCCTTTTATTTATATCTTCACACATAGACGAAATAATCTCTGTCCACATATGCGATGTCCGGGGCGGAGAAAAAAGCGGTGGAGAGGAGGATTTTGGGCGGTGGGTGGGAAAATCCAACAGATGATTTATGTATTTGAGCCATCGTGAGCTTTTCATTTTGCACCCCTTTCGCTTTCCACGAGCTTTTCCCACCAACCACACCATTATAGCCCAGCTCCTTTGGGAATTGTATCCAGTTCATATGCGATGACTTTCAAACACTCTGGGACACACTTTGCTTAATTTACACAAACTCTTTCATTGTTTCATGGTGGATTTTTTGGGGGGAAAAGCAACAATGCGCTGAGCACTGAAACAGCGCCCTGAAATAGTGTGAAATGAAAAGGGTGAGGAAAGAGGGAGAAAGAGAAATTCACGTGGTTCGACCTAATTTTTCCTTCTTTTCCTCCAGAGCAGACGAAATGCAATCATTTCGTCGCCACAGCGAATGGAATGTGCTCAGAATTTTTGGGCATTCGGAAGTGATGCCATGAGTGCAAGTTTTAATCAATTTCCATTGAAGTTTCTCCACATACGCAAGAATTATCGCTCGTATTGTTCATCTCAGGGTGCGGAAAATTGGCACACAAAAGGAGCTTCTGTATAAATTGCACTGAACATTCATTGAGGTGTGAATTGTTCAGTTGCTCAACTTTTCTACAAAAGTCATTCACAAAAGAACTATTTGTGTAGTGGAGGAAAGTTTGAATTGAGAACAGAAAAAAAGAAGAAGAGAGAATCAATTTCAATTATTTCAGAATTTTGATATAACACCTATAATATGTATTTTAAGCTATGCAGAGAAAATATATTCTCCTATGTTTTCCACAAAACACTTGGGAAATTTCCCTGTTGAAGTGTTTGTTAATTAAATTCTATAATATGTAGAATTTCCTTCTGCACTTCTGCATTCCATTTCCGACTGCAAAATTAAATTCTTATTAACATTTCTCATGTTATGTGCAACATCCGTCAACGTGCATTTTTTCTGTCTCTCTACGTTGTTCTTTTTTTAATGCTCGTCAATAAGCTAAAACAGCTATAAGTCTCTGACACTTTTTTTTCCTCCTTCTTCAACATTCACGTACTTGTGTTCAGTGCGTATTTTTCTCTGTTCTTCCCTTTCTTCAACACTCAATTTTTGCTCTTTCGCTCTGTGTGACTCTGTCCTCAAGTCTCGAGAACGTGTCATGAATTTATTTTTGCATTTGAGACGCTTTTATGCTGCGAAGGAGAAAATGAAATTTTAATACATAATAGCCCGTTTCTTTCACCCAAAAGCAAAAAGGACTGGGCGCGATGGTGGAGCGGAATAAAAACGCGCGCGCTACAATTGTGTTATTCTTTGTGTGCCACACCAAAAGCCCAGCACAGCAAGCAAGCCACAAGATGGCAACTAATAGTGTTCACACGAAAGGAACGCATTATATTTAATTATTATTTTTGTGCTCAAGAGGAAACGAGTTGTGAATACAGAGGGAAGAAAAAAAAAAAGTGTACAGACGCTGAGGAATATGACAAAGTGTATATGAGGCTCACGGGTGAAGACATTTCAATAAATTTACGACGGGGTTGGAGTGCTTATTGGGCATAATAATAAAATTAAATTAAACGCAAGGAGTGAGGCTCAGAATAACTTTGCTCCTGACCACCAACGCACACGATTCTTGAGGGTGTGTTTCAAGAAAATGAGTCACACAGTGTCTGCAGACGTTCTTTCTCAGACGCTGTGACTCTTTTCTGAAGAATTATATCTTCTCGAGAGCCAATGAGATGGGTTAGAAGCAGCTTTGCTTAATCCAAGGGACAGATATTATGGTCCGAAGTGGTGTACAGCTTCTGCAGAAGTGTTTGGGAATTGGAAGTAAAATAATTGCATCTAATTCATGCATTTTCTAAGTTTTTTTTTTGCTCAAGAAAACCAATTTTATTGCTTTTCTAGGTTATGTGATTGATTTAAATCAGATTTTGGAACCTAAATGATGCTCAAAAACATCACATTTGTATTTAAACTGGAATATTTCACTTTTCTTGTTTATATTTGAGCATTTGTGTCAAAAAATACTTTCATATTGGTTGATTAATAGCCTTAATGTCAATTATAATCTAAAAACTATCACTTCAGTCTTGAAGAACGTTTCTTTGCTTTGTTATTTCCGTTGTTTGTGCTTTTAAAGTGACAAATTCAACCTTAATTTCTTGTAGAAACATTGATTTATTCAACATCTTTACAAATTTTCCGGTTTTAAAGAAAGTAAATTGGACGAAAAATGATATTTTTTTTTAACTAGATTCATAACCGCACAATTAAGTCAGAATTTTTCTAAGCACTTCCCGAAGACAAAACTAGGAAATTACAATTAAAATTTGTCATGAATAAATTCTGGTTCATTCTAAAATCTAAGTATTTGAAGACCTTTCACCTCTTGAGTCGAAATAACCTGGATTAGATTGTAATTGAAGTGTTGAAGATTCTGACACACTGAACAGATTTTAGGCTTCTTATCTCCCCCTTGGTTTAATCAGAAAATTCTATTGGGTATTTGTATGGAAATTAGTTAATTTCAACTCTTGTTTGTCTTGCCTTGTGACTTCATATGAAGTCTTCGTGTTTTAGCAATTCCAGATGTGCCCAAACCGTTTTCCTGAAAAAAAATCAGTCTCCTCTAAATCCTTCCTATCATATTTCCCGAAATGACAAATACCCACCCATCAACTGACTTATCCCTTAATCTCACGACTTATTTCCCAATATTTAACGTCAAAATCGCCTTACAAATCAACTAATCCCAGATTTTCTGCAACTACTCATGCATTTTCTTCAAATCTCCTCTCCCATAGTCTTGAATTTCATTTCTTCCCTCTTCACTTCCCCTGTCGTGACTCCTTGGCTGGTCGTCCGACCGACAAAAAAACACAGGCCCAAATGTTATTCCCATAGTGTGAAGGGTGAACCAAAAAGAACGGAAAAAAAGTTGCGACAGAGAAATTCATCGTCGAAAATCATCATGCAATGTATTATAAGAATATGTTTTGCTCCTTTTCTCTATAGTGTTTCAACCAGATAAAAAGCCGAGTGTGAGAGAGGGAAAGAGCGGGCAGAGTTGGAAGAAAAAGTCACACAGTGAACACAATATTGTTGGTGTACTTTATGAATGCCGCAACAGTGAGAAATGTGTTCTGGGAAATGATAAACAGTGGACTGAACGTGTGAAGTCGCGAAATGAGGGATAAGTCGGTGCTTGGCGGAAGTGCAGCGATGTTTGCAATACAGACAGGGTGTTCTTGACTCACGAGCATCGCGGTTGCAATTGAACGCTGCGAGGGTGACTTTTCCACTTTGGCCCACACCGACTAGCACTCTCTCTCTCCCTTCCGCCTCGCTCTGTGCTCTATCTTCTTCAGTCGAGAATTTGCGGCGCCCGAAGGAGGTGAAGAAGAAGTGAGAAATCTCAGCACAGGAACGAGAGAGTCGAAGCGATACGCAAAAGGAGGGAGTGTGGTTGCATTCACACCAACTGCCGGCAATTACGCTGCTGGGCTCGGCGATGGTCGGCTGATGGTCGCAGATGCCGGATTCGGCGCACTGCGGCGCGCTTCGGCGAGCAATAGAGCGATAGTCACAGTGCTGAGGCAGTGAAACACGGAAGAACAAGTATATAAGCAGGGGTTGCTACCAAACGAATTCAGTTGGACTTGAAGCGATCGCGAGTGCAGAACCACGCTCAAAGTCACACCGTGACTCGTTCGCCAAAGGGCTGCCAGAGACTCTGAACAGTTGTGATTTCTTCATGGACTGAATTTGGTGGGGAGTCAGAGTTTGAGCGAAATATCCTAGCTGCACTCCCGAATCCCTTTTCCTATTAAGGCCAAAAATAAGAAAGTGTTGGGCGAATTGTGAGTAGCGAATTTAGTGGCTCGAATTGGATATCAGTGAGTCAAAATCCCGAAAAGTAGAGAAGAGAATAGAAGAGTGCTTGTGCCGAGAAGACCCAACCCTATAGAAGCTCTCAATGCGGGGGTAGAAGTGCTTGTGCGTGGGCAAATCCGATGAGTCTGTGATTTTGGGAACATCTGTGCGGTGTGTTCAGTGGCGAGGACATGCGAGGCAGACTTCTAATATGACTGAGAAGTGAGTGTTGATAGATAGACCCGAGACCCAAAGTGCGAATCAACCATGAGCAAGTCCATTCTCGTGGCAATAGTGATTTTTCAGCTGGTGGCCAGCCAGCAGACACCTGACTCAGACCACCACATGACACGCTACGATGCGCCCGATGACTGTCGGTACGCGCTGACCGGCACCCAAGACGTGTCCCTCTTCTGCATCCTCCGCACTGTCAACAGTGAATACGACACGACGAATTTTAGCGTAATCAGTTCCGTTCTCTCCGAGCACACAATCTCCCTATCAATACTGTGCAATGATCAGATTATGGCGCGCAGTTCGCTGGAGTCGAAGAGCTTTGTACACCTGAATCGCCTGCGAGAGCTCTCGCTCGAGTACTGCAAATTCGCCAAGTTCAACCGCGAAATGCTCTTTGGGCTCAGCGACCTGAGGAACCTCACGCTGCGCACACACAACGTCAACTGGCCAGCACTGAGTCTCCAGATAGATCCCGACACGTTTCTGTACGTGAAGAATCTGGAGCGCCTGGATCTGAGTCAGAACAACATGTGGTCGCTTCCTGAGAATCTCTTCTGCACCCTCAGCGGCCTGACCTTCCTCAACATCACCGGCAATCGCCTGCAGGATGTCAATGATCTGGGCTTCAGGGATAAAACCCTGCCGGGTGGAAAGGATGAACCCACAAGTGTGCCGACAAGTGCGCCCACGAAATCTCAGCCCTGCAATCTTGATCTCGAGTCTCTGGACGTGTCCTTCAACCACTTCATACTCCTGCCGGCCAATGGCTTTGGAACACTGAAGCGACTTCGCCACCTCAAGATAAGTGACAATGAGGTCTCAATGGTGGCCGATAGAGCCCTGGGAGGTCTGAAGAACCTCCAAATACTCGACATGAGTTCCAATAAAATCGTGGCCCTTCCTTCTGATCTCTTTCGCGATCCCTCCCAGTCGATTCAAGAGGTTTATCTCCACAACAACTCAATCAGTGTCTTGTCGCCCGGTCTGTTCGCAAATCTAGACCAGCTGCAAGCGCTGGATCTGGGCAGCAATCAGCTGACATCGACCTGGATCAATCGCAACACTTTTGCGGGCCTCATTCGTCTCGTTCTGCTGAATCTGTCCAATAATCGCATCACAAAGCTGGAGCCAGAGATCTTTTCAGACCTCTACACCCTGCAGATTTTGAACTTGCGATACAACCAACTGGAGAGCATTGCTGCAGACACTTTCAGTCCCATGAACAATCTGCACACGCTGCTGTTGTCACATAACAAAATTAAGTTCTTGGACGGATACTCACTCAATGGACTGTACGTCCTGTCGCTGCTCTCGCTGGACAACAATGTGCTCGCCGGGGTGCATCCTGAAGCCTTTCGCAATTGCAGTGCTTTGCAAGATTTAAATCTCAGTGGCAATGAATTGGTGTCAGTGCCGTCAGCCCTCAAAGACATGAGACTCCTGAAGACAGTGGATTTGGGTGAGAATGCTATCTCTGTGATTGAGGAGAATGCTTTTCGTGGAATGAATAATCTCTATGGCTTGAGGTTGATTGAGAATCATCTGGAGAACATCACGAGGAGTGCCTTTAAGGATCTCCCGAGTCTGCAAATTCTCAATTTGGCTCACAATAGTATTAGAAATATTGAGCCAGGGACTTTTGAGATGACTTCCAGCATTCAGGCCATTCGACTTGATGGCAATCAACTGGTGGACATCACGGGATTGTTCTCAAACATGGTGAATCTCCTGTGGCTGAACATCAGTGACAACCATTTAGCGTCATTCGACTATGCACAGATTCCGCTGGGTCTACAATGGCTGGATTTGCACAAGAATGAGCTGGGAGACTTGTCGAATAGGTATGGACTCGAGGGACAATTACGCCTTCAAACATTGGACGCCAGTTTCAATCACTTGCAAAAAGTGGCTCCCAATAACATCCCCAATAGCATTGAATTGTTGTTCCTCAACGACAATCTCATTACAAGTATTGAGCCGCACACGTTTATGCATAAGGCTAATCTCACGAGAGCGGATCTCTATGCGAATCAAATAACAGGACTGGAACTCAAGGCACTGAGACTCCTCCCTGTGCCCACGACCAAGTCCTTGCCGGAGTTCTACATTGGGGGCAATCCTTTCGTCTGTGACTGCAACATCGATTGGCTGCAGAAGATCAATCAGCAGTCCACGCGACAATATCCCAGAATCATGGACTTGGAGACGATTTACTGCAAGCTGCTGTACAACAGAGACAGAGCCTACATTCCCCTCCTAGACGCCGAACCTATGCACTTCCTGTGCACCTACAAGACCCACTGCTTCGCCCTGTGCCACTGCTGTGAGTTCGATGCGTGTGACTGCGAAATGACTTGCCCGAGCAACTGTACGTGCTTCCATGATCAGAGCTGGGCGACAAATGTGGTTGAGTGCTCATCTGCTAGCTATACGGAAATGCCGGCCAGCATCCCCATGGACACGACGGAAGTGTACATTGATGGGAACAATTTGGGCGGACTGTCCGGCCATAGTTTCATTGGGCGAAAGAATCTCAAAGTGCTGTTCGCCAACAATTCAGCCATCAGTGACATCTACAACACGACATTTGCTGGACTGCGGAAGCTCACGATGCTGCATCTGGAGGATAATAAGCTGACAAAGCTGAGTGGAGGTGAGTTCACAGCCCTGGAGAGTCTCACTGAGCTCTATCTGCAGAACAATCACATCTCGCACATTGAGAATCGCACATTTCTCGAGTTGAGAAAGCTGGAAGTGCTTCGGCTGGACGGCAATCGGCTTCATCACTTTGAAGTGTGGCAGCTCACCCTCAATCCCTACCTCGTTGAGATTGGCCTGGGCGACAATGTATGGTCGTGCGAGTGCACTTTCCTCACGCAGCTGAGAACGTATGTAAATACCAATAGTGAGAAGATAATTGATGGGCAGAGAATCACGTGCATGTATAATAACCACACGAGTGTTTTGGGGGAGAGAAATGGGACGAAGTGTGTGAAGGAGGGGGAGTCACTCTATGGCAGAGCGCACGAAATTGAGGACTTGCTGCCTCTCCTGCTGGCCGCCACGTGCGCCTTTGTGGGCTTCTTCGGTCTCATCCTGGGCATCTTCTGCTATCGGCGCGAGCTCAAAGTCTGGGCGCACTCTCAATGTCTGGCCAACATTTGCTACAAGTCCAGCAACTTCGTCGATGACTTCGACAAGGACAGACTGTATGACGCCTATCTCACGTACAGTCTCCAGGATGAGCACTTTGTCAATCAAATTCTGGCCTCGACACTCGAGAATGACGTTGGCTATCGCCTCTGTCTGCACTATCGCGACTTCAATGCCAATACATATGTGGCGGACACGATTATCGAGGCGGTGGAGAGCTCTAAGAGGGCGATTCTTGTCCTGTCCAAGAACTTCCTCTACAACGAGTGGTCGCGCTTTGAGTTCAAGAGTGCCATTCATGAGGTGCTGAAGCGCAGGCGGAAGATCATCTTCGTGCTGTACGGCGATTTGCCACAGCGCGACATTGACGCCGACATGAGGCTGTACCTCAGGACCAACACGTGCATCGAGTGGGACGACAAGAAGTTCTGGCAGAAGCTGCGAATCGCACTGCCGCACATCCGGAAGAACCACTGTCTGGCCAAGCGCTCCGCTGTGAACATCTACGCCACGGCTCATGACTACAACACCGCCAGGCGCATCAACGAGTGTCCCACGGCTCCGCGGCTGGACTGCAACAACTACGCCACCATTGGGAGCTGCGGTCGCACGTGTGACACGTACGACAAGTACCCGACCGAGCGCCGACCACACCATCATCATCACCGCGGCCAGAAGCCCGAGCGCCAGCACGAGTATGCCGTGCCCAGCGGATGCCTCCAGCCGCCGGGCATCCCGCTGAAGTTCACCGATCCGCTGAGCGAGAACTTCGACGGCGGCCCCAAGTATCCGCACAAGATCATGCTGCCGCCCTCGGGCACGCTCTCCTCCACCAACAACAGCGAGTGCAGCCGCTCCGTGTCGTCCCAGGGCGCCCTCAGCTGCAGCTCGGCCGGCAGCCTGCCCGCCGCCGCCCCCACCACGCCGCAGCCCCTGCCGAACGGGTACTACGGCCGCGGGACGCCGTGCAACGACGCGTGCACGAGCAAAGGTGATATGAACTGTATAGCGGATGCGCCGCAGGCGAACTGCATCGACAGAAGACTGCCACAGGCAATGTGGGCGTAACGATTACTTAATTACAGGTTAGTTTTCTAAGCCATTCTCCCTTGCGAATGATCAGGGGTTGAGACTATGCTATTGCCCACTCAGTCAGCAAGTGCGGAGAAAGGGTGGCTTTGTGAATATCGCGCGCGCGCGACGTCCTGGAATATCGTTTAATTTCTTAGGATTGAGGTGACGAAATTGTCTTTAATTTGCGCCAAAGATTATGTCGAAATTGAGTGAGAAACACACATGAGAAAAGCTCTGTTTCGAATGCATAAAGATTCTCCTTGACATGTTGTCAAAGACACAAGTTTTGACACATATTTGACATGAATTTGTGTACAGCAACAGAATGCTTTGAAATGCTATTGAATTTCAAAGGAAATTCAATTTGCAATACCACTGAAAATCCCCTCAGAAAGTTTAAATACACTTTGGGTATTATTGAGTTGAAGATATTTACCAATATATGTATTCCTAAAAGCTTTTCCCATCGTCTTATCACTTTGCAAAGTCGAGAACTTAACGAGCTGATATTCCAGAGAAGTCCGCAATTTATCGGTTTAGTGTTACACCATTAAGTATATATATAAATTCCTAGGCTATAAAAAAAATGATTTGCTCTCTAACATTAAACTCAATTAACGATTGTTATAGTATCCACGTTTTAAGTGGAAATGATAGTTTTCGCCACCTTCACTTCACGTTTTTCAGTGCATTTTCCCACAATGCTGATTGAGCAGGTGATTATTGGATTGACTTGCGGAGCATGATTTGTGCATTTGTAGGGCAAAAATCGGCCTTTTGTGATCACAGCCGAGTCAAAAGGAAACCCCTTGGCGAATTTCTTGCCAAGAATCACGCGCGATTTCTACACCAAATTGCCCTACATTTTGCCACATATGAAGTGCTTCGCAAGTTTTGCGCACATCAATTGAACTCTGGGTTCAACAGAAAGAAGAAAAAAAATCAAATGTAAAGTCATACGGAAGAGAGGAGAAAAATTCTCATTAAACATATTAAGCCATGCAAGAAAAAGTCACATGAAAATATTTGTAATTGCATTTTTGACGAATTAAAGAAAGAAGAAAAACCATACATTTCTTTTGTCATAACAGCTAAGAATAAAAGAAATAATCATTCCTCATTATAGAAGTAAATAAAAAAAATAGCAAAGCAAAGTACATAAAATATAAGAAAATGGAGAACTTAATTAAAATATGATTATAATAGAAAGAAAAAAACACAAGAAAACATGCAGCAGAAGAAACACACACACATTTTATCATAAAAAATTGTACATTATTAAATATGGTTGAATGTTCGCCACAGAAGTCAAATCAATGTGAAATTATCTCAAAACTCCACAAAAACATTTATGCAGCTGAGAAATTATGCTAATTGACTCTTGACTCCTCTTCTGACTCTCAAGTTACGTCCAAACTCTAATTAGTTTTTATTTTGACTCTTTCCCAGAAGAATCATAATTTTATCGATGAGCGAGAAGGAGAATTAAGCACGGAAATGTTGTCAGAGCAGCTCAAATTCTCAATTTATATTCACATTTTCTGGCTATCTTTTATTTTCTTACACCCTTCAGACGCCGCTCTTCATTAGCTCCTCACGGTGGACACATTAATCCTCAAATTCATTGAGATTGTGTTGACGGTGGAAAAAAGGCACACTTTGCAATTTGACGTTAGATGTTGTTGTGTGCGAGAAGAAAATGCGATTTACTGATCTTCTGTATGATAACACAAAGTCACATTAAAATATTTTTGTCGAAAATGTGGAAGCTTGAATTTCATTTCGTGTCGAATATCAATGAATGGATAAAGCTTTGAATAAACTTTATTGCGCCCCGAAAAAAAATGTATGTGAAAAATACTGCCCAATAATTCGTGTGTGTGTTTTGGAGGTGATATTAAAAATTTATCTGCGCCATGAGAAGTCAGAGAGACAAGTCAATAGTCAGCACTTAAATTTCCAATAAATTATCCACGTGAGATTAGAAGACGCTGAGGAATTAATTAATTAAATTGTCAGTGATGCTATATGGAGTTCTCTTTGTTTTCTCTGGAATGACCGGGCGTCTTGTGAGAAGAGAGAGCATCAATTAGAAGCCACACTGCGAATATTTATATGTAATATTGAATGAGAATTGACACACGACATAAATTTCTCTGGGTGTAATAATTAAGGCAACGAATATGTTGGGTGTGAAGACGTGGTGAAGGAAGGAGAGAGAGAAAGAAGGAACATTATAAGGTATGGAAGAATATGAGGAGAAACAATAAAAGGAACCCATATTAAATCAATCAGATGCTAGATATGTAAATTCGAGAGGCACGAAATTAAATTATGATTTTGCCCATTGATATTCAAGCATTGGTGTGTCTGATAAGTGGTGATAGTTGTAATAAAATGTGAAGAGAAACGGCACAGAGTTGGAAAATGTTTTATTTATTCCTTCTCTCACTGCAGCCATAATACAATTTATTCACATCAAAACTGATATGATAATTTTTTCCACTATGCAAATACCAATAGATCCCATTATTTTCCAAGGGGAAAAGTCAAGTCTGATGTTTATTCATGTTTCTCTCTCACCATATTTGTTCTACTTCTATCATAACACCCATATTTTTATTCTCATAAACAAAAAAAAAGTATATGTATAATATATAATTACATCAGCCAACAATATGAGCAAAAGATAATGCATATTATTTATTTCCTCACTCTCGGACATGTTTGTGTTTTTTTTCGGTTCACTGTTTCACCACTTCAATTAATTTTTAGTGGTTTTTTATTGCATCGAGGATGTGTGCATTAAAGCAAGAGCGAGAAAGAGAGAGAGAGCAACAAGAGAGAACAAATTTGTAAATAAATTCCTGTAATTACTTTTGTAAATAAGAGATGAGAATTTTAAAATTGACGATTATAATAAAAACAAAAATATAATTTATTTATATTCAACAAAAAAGTATAAAACACACGACTTTTCATTATGTTCGCTTTCCCGACCCATTTTTCCTCTTTGTTTCACTCCTAATTTGAACAACTGCGGAATGGATTTTGACGGTTCAACAATTTGCCAGAGAGTAAATTTGAAGGTATGACAAAAGTGTTGGAAATATTAACTAAATAGTTTTTTTTTTAACATTGATATTTAACCTAAAATTAAGGACTGAGTAGAATAAAAAATCTTTCTTCCAGTTATTATTTCCCAAGTGTTTTGACTTGTTCTCTCCCTTCATATTTGTAATTTCCTGCTTGTTTATTTACTTTGTTCCACGCTTTAATTTGTATTTTTCGATCATGTCAAAATGTGACCTGCAAAGTTGAAATTGCAATAAATCCATAGATTTGAATCCTCTTTTGTCACTCGTTCAGTGTCTCTCCAAATGAAAATTTCCAATTCAACGCCCTCGATCTCATTGCAATAATATTGTTATAATCATTGCGATAACAGCGGCAAAAGAGTCATTCGCTTTATTTAATGGCAATTCGATTTGCTGAGCGATTCCATCGCGAATGATTGAAAAGCCATTGGCGGGATTTGTTTGTTCTCAGTGTGAGTGTCGATTTTGGGTGAGGCCATCAGCAAATTGGGCGTTTCGCGCGCCGAGGGGCCTCGCACTCAATTATCAGAGCGCAAAAGCCCGCGAGAATGCGGGACAATGCCGGTGACGATAATGTTTGCGCGCCCGGCAAAGTGCGTACGAGAGACTGTCAAAAACGTGATACTAATTATGTTTATTATCTTCAGCCTGTGGCATCGTTTGCCGGCCTGTCAAAAATTCCCCAATTCCCGGTATTCTGGCTGCTCGGCTGTATAATTAAAATTTATGAACTCTGGGAGCCTTCGAACGTGCTCTCGCGATATGTGTTCCCGCGTCTGGGGCCGTCTGTTTATTATAATATGTTATAATAATCATAATAATGGTGTTCTGGGTGTGGAAGGCAAGAAAGAGAGTGAGTTAATCTCCGAACTTGACACTCTGCCTTGTTATGCCTCACGTCCTTTGGCCACTGGCATCTCGGATGTGAGCATCTCCGCTTCCCCACTGCATTGTGGGAGAGATTATATTGAAATATGTCATGCATGATATTGTTGAGATCTCTCATTTCTGATATCAGCCACCGCAGCATTTTATCTTGTCTCGCAGCATCGCTGAGACGCTGCGAGATGGTCGGATTGTTGACTCCAAACAATAAACATGCGAGCAGCTCAAGAGTTCCAACTTTGAGAAGCTTCTCAACTCTTTGGAGGGACACACTTGAAAAATGTGCCCCTTCTCCAGTGTTGAATCATTAAGAAAAATAGTATTTTATTGGTGAATTTATGATCATATCGGATTACTCTGGGTTGTGGAGCCATCGTGGATGATTTTTCTCAATATTTCCACACAGATTCTCTCCCCGAGAAACACTTGATACCCAGAGTCCAACACTTGATAAGAATCTCCCAAGGCATTGTCAAGTGTGTGTGTGAGGGGAAAAATGACAGAATCTTCTTTTTATCTGTCGGACAGGTTCTTATCCTCAAATTACCATGTGAAGATGCTGTGAGATTCTTTTCTCTTTTATGAACAAAATTCCATCTTTCCCGATCACCATAAAGTTCCCTGCACAGCGAAGATATGGTGTGCAGGTTGACAGTCCAAAGAAGGGGCGGGGGGAAAAAGAGCGTCTTGAGCTCCTTTGCAATTCAAGCAATGCACACATAAGAAAACAAGACTTCCGAGTGCTCGCGGGACGGTTTTTATGGCAGAAAACTAGAAATCTATGCCGTAAATATTTACTCAGAGGTCATCAAACATCGATTGAGTGTCACTCAAGACTAGAAGTCGAGAATGTGGCCAGCTGTTGGCCCCCCGGGAATTCTCTTCTCCACCTCCAACAAGTCACTTTAATGCGTTGATTTATTGCACCGACGAGACTCACCCAATGAATGACAAATACCGGCCGAAGATGTTTTGAATAATCTTGGGAGATGGTGAATTTTCTCCTCAAAATCCAATTTCAATAATTATTCACTCTGATGCTTCTGTTTTATTGTCACTATGTAAATCTGTCCACCTATCAAAAGTGAATAAATTTACCATTCGCCGTTTCCTGTCCACAAATCAATCACACCGGCAATCGTGGCTGTCATTCTATGAAAATTCCCTCCCTCAAGAAACCCATCGTAAAGATGATTCGCCTCCATACAGCGACAGAGAGAGAGAGAACAATACAAGTGTGTCACAATTGAGCAAACAATTTTCTTCTCCCTTTTTTTCTTAGTGCGGAGAACTTTCATGCGCGACGATTGTCGCGCGAGCAATAAAACTGCGCCGCTTAAGTGGCGATATCAATGAGAAAAGTGGATACTTTGGAGCCCACGAGAGAACTATAAACAGTGGGTGGTTAAATCGAAACGATGATGGACTCATTAAGGCAGAAATTCCCCGTTGTTGGCATGAAATATTGGGTCAAAGCGAGATTATTGATTTTGTGGATTTCCTTTTCAGCCAAAGTGTGTTGAACTCAATGGAAATGTAACAAAATCACTCAAGAGAGAACAATGGAATCATTTGGAATTAAATTGTGTGCAAAATAAAGTATAGAAATTATCGGAATTTTATTGAGAAAAATCAGAAGTAAAAGTTATATAAGAATTTTGTAGCAGAAAAATATTTTAGTTTAAAAATCTAGATTTTGCTGCCAAAAATTCGGATTTTTTTTTAAAATAAAATATAAACTATTAGAACGATTTTCGATTAAAATTTGCATGGAATGATCAAAATTTAAATTAAAAAGTTGTCCTGCAATCGCGTGTGACTTTCCCCTTGGTAAAAGCCTTTCCGTGCTCTGGAATCCCTTTTTCTGTAGTTTGCAAACTCTTTTCTGATATCCATAAATAATGGAATTTTGCCGAGTGGCGAAAGTTGAAATGTCGCTGGGAGGAAGGAATTACCTTCGTCAAGTGACAGTGACCTTAGATGAGATATCGATTTTCGCGCCGAGGCGTCTTTGAGTGGGAGCCTAATGACCGCCTTCGGCGCGCAAGGACGCGACGGTGGAGAGAGAGAGAGAGATGAAATCGTCATGCTACGACTCTTCCACCTGGTCTCGCAGCGGCGTTTTTTCTTCCCGGACGCCTCTCAATTCATCTTCCCGGGCATTCCGGGGCGCACCTTGACAGGTGATCTCTTGGCGCTTTCCGGACAATTTAGCAGCCGCCGCGGGATAGAGTTTCTCTCGCCATCTTCTCTCTCTCCAAACTAATTAATACGTGAAAAAATACCAACAACAACTCATTCAGAAAATAATTTAGAGGTGTCATTTTTCTCCACTTGTTCTACGCTTATCGCGCACGCCGGCGGACAGAGTGACCAATTAAATGTGAATCATTGAGAGTGCGAGGCCATAACTTGCGCCTCTCGCTCCAACTTCTGCATCAGCTCGAGAAAGAGTTTCACAAAAATTAATTTTGTGATCCGCATACACACGGGCACGAAGAATGGGTGTAAAATGGTCGAGACAGCGCGCGCATTTTGATGAATTTATGGGAAAGAAGTTGGCACTTGTGGCTGAGCGCTCTCCTCCCCTATAATTTATCGATTTTTCCAATAAGATATCCTGCACGCACTCTGTATTTATGTCTAAATTTGCAGGCATCGCCGAGCAAAGGGCGAAAATCGTGCATTTTCACCCAACACCTCAGCACATGTGCAATTACCGCGCGGATATAAAAGAAGCAATAGAGCGATTTCTTGCACCCGGTGAAGCCGCAACAGGACCCAAGAGCTCGCACAATGATATCCAATTAAAGAGTGACCCAGTAACAATGGCCGGGAATGGGAGAAGAGGGGCATTTCGTCCTCCGAATCCACGGGAATTCTCAAATTATTCCCATTTTTTCTCACCAACCCTCCTTTCAAACTCTCAGCGCTGTTATTATTATAACCAGCACCTTTTCCAAACCGTCCTCTTCTTCGTGCCTCTCAAGGCAGGCCAAGTATGAGATTGAGAAGGCGATGAGAGCCTAAGAGGCTGTCAGACAAATTGCGCTGATTGCCAATGTCTTGAGATGGGGAAAAAAAATGTCGGGAATCTATCTCACAATTTAGTGATTTTGATCGACAAAGACATTTGAAAAAGATAGTAAGTATGTGTTGTTTTTAATGTAAGATTGCATATTTTAGTCGTGATTCAGTATTTCTTTCACTCTCAGCCTGCGCATGAAGTTGGGAGACGAATGATCCAAAGAAATCTTGAAAGAAATATATGCATGGATGGCAAAAAAATCCTTTTTATTTCGACACTGATCGACAGGAACTGCGCTATTTTTGTTTTTTAACAGAATTCATAGTAAAAACGGGACTGATATGGATTAATTAGTCCCTTAACTAACAATTTCAATTGTTTCATCCTTAAGATTTTGTTGGAAAAAGGCAACTTGAATCGATGAGTGTCGATAAGTGTCGATCAGCGTCAAGAACTTTAAGCCAAAATGACATGAAAATATTCTTTGTCACAATCAGTTCGGCTTCCTTTCGATCTGATCCTAAATCCCCATCAAAAGTTCCATTGAAACTCTGGCCAAAATGCCCCTGTTCGTGTCCAGCAAATGATCCGGAACGAAAGCCTCAATCAAAGGAGTGTTTGTGAAGAATGAGGCCAAAATCTGCAGATTCGTTCCACATTCCATAATTTGCAGATGCGCTTCTCGAGCCGCCTCAGACTTTGAATGCGACTCTCAAGACTCTTTTCAATTGCATCTCTTCCTCAATTGCTGCTCGTCTCCTTTTGTCCCGGCAGTTTTTTGTGTGGCGCGATTCGCAGAGTTTATTGCCAGGCAATTGCTGGGACGCAAATGAGTTGTAAATGGGTGGTTTTTGAATAGAGAGAGCTTCTCTGGAGCATTCATATGTGCGCCAAACCGCATGGAATTGCGCAAAAGAGCTTCGCGCGGTGAAGACATTCTCTGGATATTCCGAATA